AGCCGCCGTGAGGTTCGATATGCGGCTCTCCATTTTCCTCTTGGGTTTCTTTTTCCGGCAAAGAGACACAAACTCGGGCGGCAGCTCCAGCGGAAGCGCTAAAGACCACGGCGCCCTGTCCCAGATAAAAACGCCCGAGATTCAAGCCTTAACGTTTCTAAAAATGCCAAAAGTAGTAACAAATTAGTAACTGCGCCAAGAGATCTCTATCAGCAAGGCCCGGACACTGTTGGCCGAGAGTTCCGCACAGCCAACGTGCTGTAAGGGAGGCGGGAAAATACTTGAACGACAACTATGGAAACTCATCACGCAAAAGCCTTTCCTGAGGAGGAAATAATGCAATGTGAACGAGCTGCATGCCCGCAATTAAAGAACGGCTCCCATGCTACCAAGTCCCCAGGAGCCTGGCTGGCAGCCGTTCTTGAACTGCCTTCCTGTAGCGGTGATGCCACTAGGTGGTAGCAGTTGTAATGAACGGAAGATCAGAACTACGATCTAAGATCTTCTTTTCATATAGATTTTACTCTACAAGTCAAGTTTTCCTTTCCATGCATCCCTCTTGAGCGAGGCGCCCCACAGGCTGCCCGCCTCAAGAATCAGCGCAAGAGGTGACTTCTCCCAGTTACATACATTCCTTGCAGACGAGTCCAAGGCAGCGTAAGACACGTCAAAACATACCACAAAATACTGCACGAGGGAGTTACGGCCCCAGCTAGGCAGTCGAAGCGCAACGGTGACCTCCGCTACGATGACCGAGAAACTAGTGACAGTAGCAACTCGCCGAATTCGTCGCGATCAGATAATCCTGAAGAAGGCCTGACCCGCTTCAGTTCATGCCATTAATGCTCATGTTGCTTAAATGTGCAGTCGGCAGTAGCCGCCAAGACTTCCGGCGCCCCCGACGCACGAAACCAAAAAGATTTCTACCAGTTAGTTGAAGTACGCGTAACTGAGTGGTAAACAGTGGCTTCCATCCACTTAAAAGGAATGCAATAACATAGGAATGTGGAATTCGCATACGTAAGGATAAAATTCGTCTTCCTCACTATTGTCTTAATGACCACTGGAATCATTCGGGGCCACGGGACTGCAACAACAGCTGCGGCGCCGAAGGCAAACAGCCAGCGGCAAAGACGCGGTTTCAACCCTTCTTACAAATCACCGGGGAAAGCATTGTTCAATAGGTCTAAAACATCAGCAAAAAAATGCTGTGAGCTGTCGGATCCTTTCTACGAAGCCGAATGCGGGGCCCTTCATATAAAGCATGCGACTGCGCTGCTGGGTACCGATTTCTCATCGTCCACTGTAGACACAAACGCAGGCCAAGCGCAGGAGAAGAAAGTCACAAATCACCGACAAGTCTTCAAGCGGCTGCCTTTCGCAAGGCAAGCCAATCAGACAAGTGAAAAAAAAAAGCAATGGTGTGAAACACAAGTAGGTGATCGTGAGCAGTGAGTTCACTTTGTTGCTGCCTTTCGTGAGCAAGAAAGACAAATCCTGCAAATGGAGTGCCACGGGAGAACGCCAAGAGCAGACTGGAGACAAAAGTGAAACAGCAGCTGCGTTCGAAGCTTACTAAAGACGACATTAGATATTTCGCGAGGATCTACAGGGTACTGAGGCCCTACGGCGTAGTTCCAGTCTACCAAATGCCAGCCAGTTGGCTCAAATGCAGGGAACATGAAGTTCCTGATTACGAAACGCAGACACCAGACATTTCTCAATAAGACCAATGAGACACACCACAGCAACTCCCAATCCTCAAAGGGGGCGGACGCAGCACGACAAAAGCACATTACTCAATTTTAGTTGCTGGAATTCACAAATGACAGGCGAATTTAGCTGCTGAACTGTGCAAGGCTGTTGAGCTTCCCAGCCAGTTAGTTGTACGGGCTCTGGGGGGATTGCGTGTTTGCACCTTACGAGTTGTGAGGGTCAAATCTGGCGTTGAGTTCAAGTCTCAAAGTGTGAACAGCTGTTTCATCTTCCTCAGAGCCCAAAACAATCTGCAGAATCGTCACCCCGCAGCACCCCAGCGGCCTCTAAGCCACGATTGAAAGGTGAAAGAAACAAGAAAAGACAGAAAGACAGACTTGTGACAAATAGTGAGAATCTGAAAAAACAAAAAACGCACATTGTCTTCAGAGTCTAGAATGGCAAGTTGCTGGGCGCAAAGCAACTTGAAATCCATCACGACGACGAAGCCTCGGTCAAGGACGCTGCCGCAGTCCGCGCACATGTTCATGAATTCTGGAAATAAAAACAAGAAAAAAGCAAAATTGATTCGAAAACAAACAAATAATAGACACGAAAACGGCAGAAAGAGATACATCTGCAGCAATAAAGATGCAGATCGCAAACCCCGTTGAGGAACACCTTCAAAATTTCGCAGCAGCAAATGTGACGGAGTCGAAACAGAATTTTGCAAAATTTTCTCTAAGCCCGGGGCAAAAAAGGCAAGAATGCGTGCAGCAGAATGTCAGTAGGCCAGCAGCAAAGCTCACGTCGGAAGGTAAGCGGCTGCCTCAAGATGCCTTGCATTTGTTCTCTGGCGCGTTTTCTCCAGATCTGTTCCGTGGCCATGACCTGCTGCCTCTTTTCGAGAACTCCGAGTGTCTCGACACCTGGCGTGGCGTCAGCTTCCTCTGCGGAGTCGTCACTTTCACTTCTTTTTTCTTTTTCGGACGCCTCGGGCTGCTTCCCCGGCTTCTGCGGAAGCGGCAGCTCCCCCGCAGCTTCTGCTGCAGCCACTGCAGCCTCGAAGTCGAAGACCCGCGGCTTCGCCATGTACATCGTTGCAGGAGTTCCCATGCTGCTGGCGTTGCTGCCGCGGCGCAGCAGCACCTGCACAGACCCGTGCTGCAGCAGCACCGTGGAAGTCGCGCTGGAGCCTCTGTTGCAGCCTGAGACACATGCGCATGCAATCTGCAGCAAAAGCCCTCCTGCACAACGCTCCGAGCCCCGCGGACGCCGCTGCTGCTGCAGCGCTGCAGCAGTGCTGCTGCAGTGCTGCTGCAGTGCTGCTGCAGCGCTGCTGCAGTTCTGCCTCGAAACTCCTTTAAATGCCTTTTTCTGACCCACCCACTATGCCGTAGACGGAGTCCACAACCACCCGCTGCGGGCGAATGGCAGATCTGACAGTGAGGCCCCTGTGGGCGAGGAAAGCCACTTGCTGCTGCAGCAGCTGCTGCAGCTGGCCGCCTAGGCAGCCGTGCAGCCCCGAGAGGAAGCTGTCGGAGTGCAGCTGGCAGCAGCTCGAGCTACTGCTGCTGCTGCTCTTGGGCTTCTCGCTGGAGCCATCTTTCCCCAAGCTGCTGCAGCTCTCGCCAGGCGCAGCCTCCGTGGCGGGCTGGAGTCTTTCCGCGTTGGACAAGTCCGACGAAATCTGCACATAAGTCCACCAGCAGCAACAGCAGCAGCAGCAGCAATGCAGTACTCCCGCGGCCAGCGCAGCAGCAGCGCAGCAGCAGCAGCAGTGCATGACTCCGGCGGCCGCAGCAGCAGCAGCACGGCAGCAGCAGCAGCACCAGCGCACGGCTTCCGCTACCGGCGCAGCAGGAGCGCAGCAGCAGCAGCAGCAGCGCAACAGCAGCAGCAGCAGCGCGGTGGCTAGCGTGGAAGGCTGCTGCAGCAGCGCGCGGACTCACGACAGAAAGGACGCGCGCGAGGACCTGCTTGGCGCCCTCTCTGGCTCTGTTGGCGTTGACGAGGAGCTCGCGGAGTCTGGCGAACTTTCTGTTCCAGGCGAGGGTCAAGAGCATGTAGGCGGAGCCGAAGCGGAGGCCCCTTTCATCTTCTGCAGAGTATTCCCAGCTAGGAAAGCAAGAGGGGCCCCCGTTGCTGCGAATTGGAGCGCCTGCAGCAGCAGCAGCAGCTGCTGCTGCTGCTGCGGCGTGTGCGTCGACGACGGGCTGGCCGCGCAGCTGTCTGTACACCTCAGCGACCAGCGGCTTCTCCCACTCCCGGAGGCCCCCGGGGAGCCCTCCTTCGCCAGGAGCCACAAAAACTGAAGAAGAATAAAATTTGCAACATTTTGGAGGCCCCAAAAGAGCCAGAGGCCGCGCGGGGGCCCCCGACACGCTGGGCACCTGCAAAGCCTCCCGCAGCGCGCGCGCAGCCGCGGGGGGCAGCAGAAACTGAGGCCGCATCTTTTCACTCCCCGCGAAATCGCCTCCACCACTTTTTCATTTTTTTAATTGCAGCTTCCGCGGCGGGCCAGCGGCCGCTCGCCGGGCCTTCTCAAGCCCCAAAACACGCCAGTCCCAGTGGCAGTGGTCAGTGCAGCAGCAGCAGCAGCAGCAGCGGCTTCGTTCCCGCTGTTTAGACATTCTTCTGCAAACTCTCGACCTTTTTGCTTGTTTGATATTTGCTTAACGCCGAGACTCTTCTCTTAAGGCGGCTGGCTGCGAGAGCGAGCAGCAGAGGCGGCTGCACAGCCCCCCAGCCCACTGCAGTTGTGCTACTCTAACTCAACGCCCGCAGCTGCAGCAGCCAGCCTGTCAGGCCCAGTGGTCACGGGCCAACGCACCAGTGGACCACACGGGGGACAGCCGCAGGCCCGAACATTTTCTGCGAAGCCCAGTGCAAGTACTGGCCCCAGAAGCTGCCGGAGACTAGGCTTAAGTGTTCACTGGGTTACTTTAAATGCCCCAGGCCCACAAAGGCCAGCTAACTATATATAGCTAACAAGCCCTGGGTGCACTGCGTATTTATTAGCGAGAGCCTAATGCCCCTAATGGGCTAACTGCTTCAGCAAGAGGCTCCTCGTAAGGGGTTTATTGAGTAGTTTTTAATTATTGTTTTGCAAAACTAAATGGTCAAGAAAGAAATATGTGGCCAAGGGCACGCTTGAGTCTTTAGAACCGAACTGCGCGGGCCGGCGTGTACAGCGCAGCGTTCCGGTGTACGTATACCAGGGGTACGTACACCTGGTGTACGTACACCTGGCTGTACGTACAACGCCAGCTCGGAAATTTGAACTTGAACTGGAGATTTGAACTTCACTCCGAGTCGCTGGCAAATTGAATTGAATTAACTGTCATGGGGATTTCTCCGCAGCCCTTCCACGTGGCTCTTTTCTTTTTGGATTTTTCGTGGCGAAAGTCTTTGCCTCGGACCTGCAGCGCAGAAGCAATTCACATTGAACTTCACTTGAATTTAAGAATATCTCAACAAAAGTTGAACTTGAAAGCACAGACAATTCACATTTTTGCAAAAAGTTAAATTCAAGTTGATTCGGGGATATTTGGCCAAAAGTTGAATTTGAAATATCTACGCAAAGGCCAGTTGTTGGGGAAAAAAAACACCCAATAAACCCTCAACCCTAAACCCTAAACCTTTGTGCCCTCTCACCCGCCCCAGCTGCTCCGCCGCCTTCGCCGCAAAACTGTCATTTTTTTTCTTCCAAAAAGAATTGTCTTTGAGTTCTGCAGGCAGCGCTGAAATCCACCGGGTGTCGTCTATGCGTTGGAAGCGCTTGAAGCCTGCAGCACACAATGTCCAGAAACTCAGCAATTTGTCTCTTTCAAATTTCAAAAAAATAAAAAAAGAGAAAATCCAGCCTCCAGCAGTCTATTTTGCTGCTGCTGCTGCTGCAGCTGTCTGCCACACCTGCTGCGCCTTTGCCGCCTCTCTGACTGTCTTGGGGCTCTTCTTGAGCAGCAGTTTCTTCTTCGGACTTGGCTTTTTTTTCTGAAGTTTTTCCATTTTGTTTGCTGCAGCTGGAGTCTGTCTCGGGGGCTGCTTGCGTGGCCTCTGCCTCTGAGTTTTCGTTCTCAGGAATGGCCCTGGCCTTCTTCTTGGGCTTAGTCGATTCTTCATCATTTATTTTCTTCTTTTTGGACTTTTTGCTTGGCTTTTCAACAGCTTCTGCGCGCCAAAGCCACAGAGTCCACTTGCAAATCCATTCATTGCAAAGTCAATATCTAATTTGCTCTTAAATGCCTTTAATTTCCTGCATTTGGCTCCTCATAAACTCAAAAACTCTTCAAACTTCTCCCCTAAGTCACCTTCAGCCTCCTCGCTCGCCCGCGCTGCTGCGCTGCAGAGCTGCAGCAAGTCAAACTGCTGCCCTTCTGCTGCTGCAGCTTCCAAGTCCCACTCCTGCGGCGCAGCAAAGTTGTAGAACGGCGCGAACTTGCCACTTAAAACCCCAATGTTTTGATTAAATTTTGAAGATTTAAACCCCTTAGCCCTTATTATATTATCATATAAGTGATGATATTTGTATCAGTTGCTGAGTGGTCGAAAACCGCGGGCTGCTAAGTACTGCTAAGGAAACTGCAGCAAAGGAAACTCCCAGCCAATCTTACCCGCTTGCTTGCCTCTTTCCGAAGAGCCTTTGCTGTCTTCGCCAACTCCTGCTGCTCCAGAAACTTGAGAACTGCAGCGACAACGCGCATGCCGAGTTCAGCTTCCATCTTCGTTATGGGTGACTGTGCAAAGTCGAAACTTGGGAATCCGTTACTCGCCTGCTGCGCCTCTTCCTGACAGCCCGAAGCCAATTCGTGACAGAAAAGGCCAAAAAATGTCTTCTACTCAACTAATAAACTGCTGGCATCGGCAGAATAAGATGGACGCAGAAACGGCAACAACGGCCGAAAGCTCTGGCGCCCGCGGCAAACGCTGCAGAGAAGAAAGCTCTGCAGGCCAGCCCCGCCCTAAAAAAACAGAATTATCAACGCTTTTCCTTAATTGCAAAAGCTTTAAAAGACACTGTCTAAAACAATAGGTGAAATTAGTCCAAGTAGTTCGAGTCGATGCCGCTCTCCAGCCCCACATTGTGGGGGTTCCTTTTCTTCTCACTTCTCCACAGATCTTCGGGATAATGCAAAAGTTTGTAGTTTAGCACAGCATTTCCAAATATCTGAGCTATTTTTATGTTCAGAAGGATGAAGGAATAACTGCGAAACTAACAGCACCCTCACGGCCCCGGTAGGAAGCACCGGGAAGTCGTATCTCGCAAGACTGTTCCGTAATCTCTGACCACGCTGTGAAACTCATACTCTCTTCCCCAGAACTGACACTTGGAAGCTTCGAAGTACTTGCGCAACAACAGAACCCCCCGCGTAGACTAGTAGTTTCCGCAGCGCCACAGCCGCCCGGCATGCACTGGAGCACAACAGTGTCTCAGTGAAAATGCGGGAAGTGCAGCATGACAGTGGCAGATACCTATACTTTTCGGCAATTTTGCTAGCAAGACTACCCCAGAACCTAGCCGCTCAGGGACGCAACTCCGGCCACACTACCCCGCCCTCTCCAACAAAACAATTCAAAAATTTCACCGGCACGACAGTCGGCACGAAGTAGGCCTGGCAACTCGAGAATCTGAATTTTAAATCGCGTTTTCGTCTGCAAACCACTAAAGGCAATGACTAAACATTCGGCAAGCTGCTCGAGCCGCCTGGCAAGTCCATGGCGTCCACTCGTAGCGTTTCTCCACGACTCTAAGCTGCGACACATTTGAGGGTACACGCCAAAATGAAACGAAACGCCACGCTTGATGTGCCCATCAATTGTGGGACGCCCACTTCGCGTTAGCTTCATTCTAACACTACGGGTGTTGCTAGTTCTCACGCACAGCCTAGCTAGGTTGCTCGGAGCGCAGTCCTTAACAGCCGGCTGCCTTTCTTCACAATGACTCCGCCTCACCAAGAAGGCCGCCACTGCGAGTGCTCGATGCAAATAGAAGAAGGATCAAACAGGAACAAGAGCACTCACGCTGCTTTCTGAACGTCCGCCGCGGCTATCCACGACGGGCGCGAAAGCTTTCCGATGTCAAACGCATAGACAAATAGAGCCTATTTGATACCGGTGTTCTTCACCGATTTCACATAAGTCCGTGCATACCAGCAGACATAAAAGCTGCCTGGCTGACGACTGACCGAGCCGTAGAGCTCCTGTCTGGGGGTCAACGAAGAAGCACTTGGTGATGGTGCACACCGTTCCGAGAGGTAAATGGAACTCAGTGGAATTCAATGCTCCTAGATGTGAAATCCGCAACAAAGTGTGACCGTGTGACTGTCTTTTGGCGCAAACTTTGCACTGGAAAGCAACAATTGCAGCACACAAACCGCCTTGGCTCAACGCCTTTCTGAGCGTGATGATCTTCCGGCCAGTGACTGCTCTATGACGCCTCCTACGTTTTGGTCCAGCCGTATTGCCCGAGTAGTGACGCGCAGTCAACCGACTCAACTACGGGCGCGTTTCTTCTCGCTGCTTCTCGCGATGACAAACGCATCACTTGTTCAACTTTCCCTTTTCAGCAGAAGAGGCCTCGAGGCCTCCTCTCGCCGCCATTTTACACTCCAACAGAGCACTGCAGAACTCACGGGGGCACTCAGCGCTCCACGCCTCTAGTGCCGACCGGCGGCGCACCCCTCACACATTTTCTCCTGGCGAAAACTTTGCTTTTCGGATTCGCGAGCTGGCGGAGCCAGACTGCACTCTGTAGTGGAGGCTCAGTTACCCTCAGGCAGCGTCGCCTCGTTCGTGTTAGTGAGTTCTGAAAGGAAAGCACACCAAACCAGCCCAGTGTTTCAACAAACCCGCAAGAAAAGCACTTATACATTACATCTGCGCACACAGCGTTCTGCTATTGCGACTCACGTAAGCAGCAACTGCACTTTCTGCAGCAAAGCTGCAGATCCAGCTACAGTGGGTTCACACTGGGGGCCAGCGCTCACCTGCAAGTTTATCTCGCACATGCGCTAGGGACTCTGGCATTAGTCCTGCTGTGTTCAACGCATATTGGCGGGGAATTATGGGGTGCTGTACATCAGCAGCAGCTGCTACATGGGCAGAGGCAAATGCAGGAATGGCTGCGCCGTCGGCGGACTCCAGCAAAACTCCCGGCGCTTGAAAGTCCACGGCGCTGGCCTCTGCGCCCTCACAGTCTTCCAGCAGCCTCTGCAGAAGCCAAGACGCAGCACTTCACCCGAAACTCTGAAATAATTTAAGCTAGAAGCAGCTAAGAGTGCAATTTCCATAAAAGACCGGCTTTTCTCTCCGGACATAGAACGGTTCATGTTTTCCATGTTGAAAGGGCACAGCTCACCGTTCTGTGGGCGCGCTGCTGGTGCTTCTTCCACTGCTTTAAAGTTAGTTTCGAGTGTTCCTCGTGATGGCAGAATTCACATTCTGCGCCGTTGCGGCACCCCTTCCGCTTGTTGTAGTAAAACGCGCAGGGCTTGCAGCGGCCGCGCGTGTGCAGTACCCGCTGCACATCGGCTGCGATTCGCAGGCAAAACAGGCAAGACCGAGACAGATTTGGTGCAGGACTTGGAGAAAAAAAGGAAACGTTTATTTGCAGCTTTTGAAGAAAAGTGAAACACCGACAAGGGAAGCAGAAACGTTCTTTGGCACCGACTTGCGCAGATTTTCACGTTCGCCATAGTGCCGGGTAAAGTAGTGGTTCGCCTGTTGTTCCTTTGGAAGAAGGCGTTGGGGTCTTCTCCGGGAATGCTTCTCGCGACAGCTGCTGCCTGGACTGTTGCTGAGGCCTCCTGGAGGAGCTTCAAATCCCCGAGGAGAGCTGTCATGCTACTGCTGCTGCCCTCGAGGAGGTTGGTGTAGTCGTGCTGGCGGATCGTGGCGGCGGCCGCGAGCACATTCGCGTCGATCCGCACGCAGCGGCCGCTGCTGCTTCTATTGCCAGCAGTGGGCGCAGCAGCAGCAGCAGCGGGCGGCGGCCACGCGCCGCCCACCTCGCTCTTGGCCGGGGAAGCGAACTCCTGCAGCGCAGCAGCAGCAGGCGGCACCTGCAGCGCCGCCTCGCGGGCAGGCGCTGGAGAGCCCCCCAGCAGCACCACTTTGCCCGCGAGACTCCCGTTGGGCAAAGTAGTTGTGCGTCTCATGTTGCGCTGCAGGAAAGGCGAGCTATCGGGGGTCGCCCGGCTCGCCTCCGCGGGCTCTTCACCCCCCAACACCCCCCCCTGCTGTGCATGCGTTTGCAGCATTGCAAATTCCCCGGAAAGCCCCGAAACGTTGCCTTCGCTGGGCTCTCTGGCCCGTTCCTCGACCCCCCCCCCGGGCGTGTCTGCAGAGGTTGTCGCTGTCGCCTCTGCCATTGAAGACCCCACACTGAAGCACCTTTTGAACAGTTCGCTCTCCGTCAAACTGTTGTACGCCTCCTGCTCGCCCCCGCACACCTTCTGAACGCCCCCACAGCGCACAGGGACAACAACCCCACCCTTGCCGCCATCCGCATGCATCCATGCATGCATGCATGCATGCATGCATCCATGCACTCACGCTTGCACGCATGCAGCCACACACGCATGAATGCATGCATGCATGCACTCACGCGTGCATGCACGCGTGTACGTCTGCGTGGATGCATGCACAGCACCTCGGAAGCGAAGTCCAGCCCACCAGCACCAGCACCACCGCGAGCAGCAGCAGCAGCAGCAGCAGCAGGCGCTCACTTCCATCCAAGTTTCGGGACTGCCGCGGACTGCAGGAGTGGTGCGGGAGCGAGTGTTGCTGCGGGTGAAGGCTGGAGAGACGTGAGCGAGGAGATCTTCTTCGGGGGGATCGGCTTCGTGTTCTGCTGCATGCAGCGACTCGGAGGTGGCAGTGGGGCTGCCCCGTGCTGCTGCTGCTGCTGCTGCTGCAGCCACCCGCGAAGAGCCCCCACCTCCGCCCCCATGCCCACCGCCAGCCCCGTCCGCTATGGACTGAACACCAGCAGCAGCACAGACACACCCAGCTAGTAGTGGAAGCAGCAGCAGCAGCTGCTGCTGCTCGGGACTTTGGCGAAAACCCAAACGGCGCAGCTTTTGCTGCCGCTGCTGCTGCTGCTGCTTACCTCGAAAGGGCTCAGCCACGGCATCGGGGGAGTCAGAGCAGCAGCATGGGCCCCCGAAACTGGCCTGGGCAAGTTGTGGGGAGCAGCAGCTTTCGCCATTGCTGCTCTTGCTGCAGGGAACAGCAGCAGCAGCCGCGACAGCTCCAGGTACCCTTCGCGGCTCTTCTCCAGCTCCTGCAGCAGCAAGTTCGTGTGCTGCAGCAGCTGCTGCAGCTGGCACTGCTTGTAGTGCACCAGATCCACCTGCGCGCAGCAGCACAGACTCAGCAGCAGCGCACACAGCTCCAGCAGCAGCAGCAGCATGTGCAGCAGCAGCAGCAGCACGGGCAGCAGCAGAAGCAGCACGGGTAGCAGCAGCACCACTACTACCACGGCAGCAGCAGCAGCAGCAGCAGGGGCGGAGACTGACGAGGGCAAGCCTCTGTTTAAAAGAAAGAAGAGAAAGGTCCAGGCGCCCGCCAACCACTGCAGCAGCAGCACTTTCGAGCAGCAGCTGCAGCTTTAAGTCGGGGCCCTTAAGTGCTGCTGCTTCTGGGGGGCTTTCTTCTGCGGGGGCCTCTCTGGGGAATGCCTGGAAGGGGCGTGGGTTGAGTGGGGAGGCGACATTTCCCT